AAATTAAAGGGATACAAATAGAAAAAGAAGAGCTCAAACTATTCATATTTGCTGATGACTTGATTCCATATTTAGAAGACCCAAAAAACTCCACCAGAAAACGTCTAGAACTCATAAATGCATTCAGCAAAGTAGCAGGATATAAAATTAACATCCATAAGTCAGTTGCATTCCTATACACCAATGACAAATCAGCTGAGAGAGAAATCAGGAAAACTCTTCCATTCACAATAGCCTCTAAAAAATAAAATATTTGGGAATCAATCTAACAAAAGAGGTGAAAGATCTCCACAAGGAAAACTTCAGAACACGAAAGAAAGAAATTGAAGAAGACCTTAGAAGATGGAAAGATCCCCCACGTTCTTGGATAGGCAGAATAGTGTCAAAATGTCCATACTACCAAAAGCACTATACAGATTTAATGCAATTCCTATTAAAATGCCAATGACATTCTTCATGGAAATAGAAAAGGCAGTCATGAAATTCATTTGGAAAAATAAGAGGCCTAGAATAACCAAAGTAATCCTTAGTGAGAAGACTGAAGTAGGAGGCATCACAATGCAGATCTTATACTACAGAGCTATAGGAACAAAAACAGCCTGGTATTGGTGCCAAAGCAGACGGGAAGACCAATAGTACACACAGACCCACATCAAAGGCACCATAAACACACAATGGGATAAAGAGAGCCTCTTCAACAAATGGTGCTAGGGAAAATGGAAATCTGTATGTCATAGAATGAAATCAAATCCCTGCCTCTTACCCTGCATGAAACTCAAAGTGGATCAAGGACTAGACATTAGACCAGAGACCCTGTGCCTAATATAAGAAAAAGTAGGCCAAACACTCTACCATGTTGGCATAGGAACCAACTTCCTCAATAAGACTCCTGAAATGCAAGAAGTAAAATCAAGAATCAATAAATGGGATAGTATCAAACTAAGAAGCTTCTTCACATCGAAGGAAACAATCAAGAACATGAACAGAGAGCTTATAAAATGGGAGAAAATCTTTACCATCTGCACCTCAGAGAATTAATCTCCAGGATATACAAAGAACTCAAAAAACTTAACACCAAAACAAACAAACAAATAACCACTGTAAACAAATTACAGTGGTGCACACGCCCGTAATCCCAGCACCTTAGGAGGCTGACACAAGAGGATTGTGAGTTCAAAGCAGCCTCATTAAAAGTAAGGTGCTAAGCAACTCAGTGAGTCCCTGTCTCTAAATAAAATACAAACAAGGGCTGGGGATGTGGCTCAATGGTTGAGTGCCCCTCAGGTTAATCCCTGGTACCAAAAAATAATAATAACCCAATCAGTTAATGGGCTAAGGAACTGAAGAAGCATTTCTCAGAAGAAGAAATAAAAATGATCAAAATATATATGAAAAAATGTTCAACATCTCTAACAATTAGAGAAATGCAAATTAAAACTACACTGAGATTTCATCTCACTCTGGTCAGAATGGTAATTATCGAGAATACAAGCAACAACAAATGTTGGTGAGGATGTGAGGGAAAATATTCACTCATACATTGTTGGTGGGACTGCAAATTGGTGCAACCACTCTGGAAAGCAGTGTGGAGATTCCTCAGAAAACTTGAAATGGAACCACTATCTGATCCTGTTATCCCATTCCTCGGTAATATACCTAAAGGACTTTAAATTAGCATTCTGTAGTGACTCTGCCACATCAATGTTTATAGCAGCTCATTTCACAATAGCCAAGCTATGGAACCAACCTAGGTGCCCACCAACACATGAATGGATAAAGAAAATGTGGTGTATATATATATATAATGGAATATTACTCAGCCATAAAGAAGAATGAAATGATGGCATTTGCTGGTAATGGACGGAACTGGAGAGAACCATGCTGAGTGAAATAAGCCAATCCCAAAAGACCAAAGGCCAAATATTTTCTCTTATATGTGGATGTTAACCCACAACAAGGGAGGGCAGGAAAGAGAAGAATAAAAGTTCATTGGGTTAGACAAAGGGAATGAAGGGAAGGGAGGAAGCATGGGAATAGGAAAGACCATAGAATGAATCCGACATAACTTTCCTATATTTGCATGTGAATGCACGACCAGTGGACCGCCACATCATGTGCAACCACAAGAAGGGGTCTAATTAAATAAGGTAGACTCCGTGTATATATAATATTTCAAAACACACTCTACTTTTCATGGATATCTACAAAGAACAAGTAAAAACTAAAAAAGAAAAAGGGTTAGGGATGTGGCTCAGTGGTAAAGCACCCTTGGGTTAGACCCCCTGTCGGGTTTCTCACAACTAGAACACTCAGGGTCGCTCCCGGTGAACTGGGCTGCACGAAATAACCGCACAAGAGACAGTGGGTCCTGTGACGGCTCCTCTGACCTTAGGGTCTGCAGAAAGAGAGGGCGAGAGCGCGAGCTGAGAAGCCATTCAAATGAGGCAGGGGTCAGGTTTCAGGGGGCTGATGTCTGCTGTCAGCAGGAGGACTAGGAAGGCCACCCCCAAAGGCAGAGCAAGAGAAGGGGACACACAAAGGGCGTTTCCATGGAACATTCTACCCCAAACAGGGCAAAGGGTAGGCTTACAAAGGAACAGGTGAGTGACACGCCTTCACCTGAAGACATGCCCCCAACTTCCTGAACAGGGACAATACCAAGTCACTATGAAAAAACGTGATCATTCAGAGTGGCTCCCCACAACCCCCAGTACCAATAATAATAATAATAAATAAAAGATGTGCACTGCTAAATGCATAAGCACCAAACAAAAGAGCAAAAGAGTTGAAAATACATGAAGCAAAGAAGCAAAACTAATAGAAATCTACAAATCCTCCGGTACACTTGGAAATGTCAGCACCCCTCTCAATAATTGATAGAATAACTAGTCAGAAAATCAGCAAGGATACAGAAGAACTCAACACCGCCATCAACCACAGGACTTGATTACATGTGTAGAACATGACCCAACCACAGAGTACACTGTGTGTGTGTGCGTGTGTGCGTGTGTGCGCTCACTGTCGTAGAACACATACCTACATAAACTATAAAACCAGTCTCAACAGACAAAAAGGAACCCAGGGCTGGGGGTGCAGCTCAGTGGGTAGAGGGCTTGCCTCGCATGCACAAGGCCTGGGTTCAGTCCCAGCACACACACAAGAAAGGGCTGAATCATAGAGTGCATTCTCTGACCACCATGGAATCAAACTGAAAATGAATAATGGAAAGATAGGAGGAATATCTCCAAATACTTAGAAACCAAACAGCACACTTCTGAATGATACATAGGTCAAAGAAAAACTCTAAAAATACTTGGAAATTAATAAAAATGAAACAACATATTCAACTTCCTATCACATAACTAAAGCAGAGCTGAGGGAACATTGTAGCACTAAATGTGCACACCAGGAAAAAGAAAAAATCTAAAATCAATAATCTAGGGCTGGGGCTATAGCTCAGTTGGTACAGTGCTTGCTTCGCAATCCCCAGCACCACACACACACACACAAAAAAAAAAAAAAAAAAAAAAAACAACCACCAAAAATAAATAAATAAATAAAATCAATAATCTAAATTTTCACCTCAAGAACCTAGAAAAAAAGAAGACAAAAATAAGCCAAAAAAAAAAAAAAACCATGAACAAGGAAATAATAAAGACAAGGAAATGAAGCCAATGAAACTTATACAAAGAAAAAGAATAGGTGAAAATCAAAGAAACAGAGCTTGTTCTTTGGGGGGAAAAAATCAATAAAATTGACAAACCACTAGCAAAACTGACAAAGGTGGAAAAAAGACACAAATCATCATATCAGGAATGAAACATGCCATACCATTGATGAAAGGGAAGAGAATACTACGAACTCTGTACCCACAAGTTGACGACTTATGGGCCAAACCCGTAAAAGGCACAAACACCATACATAACCCAATATGAAATAGATCATTTGAATAGTAACTGTCATTTAAATACTAACTTTTAAGAAAAATGAATTTATAATTTAAAACTCCTGGCAGGGCCCAGTGGCACATGACTGTAATCCCAGCGGCTTGGGAGGCAGAAGCAGGAAGATAGCATGTTCAAAGCCAGCCCCAGCAATTTAGTGAGGTGCCAAGCAACTCAGTGAGACCCTGTCTCTAATGAAATACAAAACAGGGCTGGGGTGTGGCTCAGGGGTCGAGTGCCCCTGAGTTCAATCCCTGGTACCAGGAAAAAAAAAAAACCCTCCCTCCAACCTGCCCAAACAGGAAATTTCCAGGTCTACGTGATTTTGCTAGATAGTTTTTTTTAAAAAAATAGCTACATTATCTCTTCCACAAAATAAAAAAGGAAAAAAATTCTTTTTATGAAACTGGTAGCTCTAAAGAAAACAAAATAGACAAATAGTGCAAAAATGTATAGATCAATATTTTTCATAAATAGAGATGCAAAAATTATTTTTAAAGTATTACTAAATCAGGCATAGTAGTACAAATCTGGGTAATCCCAGCAGCTTGGGAGGTGGAGGCAGGAGGATTCTAAGTACAAGGCTAGCCTTAGGAACTTAGGGAGAACCTCAGCCACTTAGCCAGACTCTGTCTTATAATAAAAAATAGAAAAGACTGGGGATGTATCTCAGTGGTAAATTGCCCCAGGTACAATTACCAGTACCAATAATAATAAGAGGAAGAAGTATCAGTAAATGTAAATGCAAGGTATTTAAAACAATACACACTTGGGCTGGGGATGTGGCTCAAGCGGTAGCGCACTCGCCTGGCATGCGTGCGGCCCAGGTTCGATCCTCAGCACCACACACCAACAAAGATGTTGTGTCCGCCGAGAACTAAAAAATAAATATTAAAAATTCTCTCTCTCTCTCTCTCTCTCCCCCCCTCTCCTCTCTCCCTCTCTCTTAAAAAAAAAAAAAAAAGAATAAAACAATACACACTATGCACAAGTGGGGTTTATTCCAGGGATGCAAGGCTGGTTTGATTTTAAAAAATAAATCAGTGTAAAACACTATATTAGTACTCTACAGAAAAAAAAAAATCCCAAGATCATATCAATTGATATAGAAGAATCATGTGACAAAATTCCATAGTAGTTAATGATTTAAAAAACAAAACTCTGAAACATGAGTACAGGGAAACTTCCTCAGTTTGACAAAGAACACCTACAGAGGCCTTTAGTTAGCACATTTAATGGTGAAAGTCTGAATTATTTTCCTCTAAAATCAGGAAAAAGGCAAGTATGTCTGCTCTCACCCTCACATTCAACAGAATGCTGGCAGTTCAACAGTGCGTAAGGCAAGGAAGTGAAATAGAAGGTAGGAATCAGAAAACAAGAAATAGAACTGTCTCCATTTGCAAATAACAGGATTATCTATGTAGAAAATATCAAGAACGCTACCAAAAAACTCCTAGAAATACACACACACACACCATTCAAACACCAAAATTTAAAAGATGATACTGTTTATAATTGTTTAAAATATCTAGATTCTGTATGATGAAAACTATATGCAGCGTGGATGAAAGAAGTCAGTTTAGATAAATGGAGAGAAATACTGTGCTCAGGGAACACTCAACAACAGTGAAGATGTCAATTTGCACGGCGTGGATACCTCTGACATTGCTGGGTCCAAACAACCAGTGTGACATCACGGAACACAGTGCTGGTAAGTTGGCCGCAGCGCACCCCGGGCACAAAGACTTGGGGGGATGATAGATAGTTCCGTGTCCTGTGGTGATGGACACTGTGCAATGGTGTCCATCATGGATACTGACATGTATGTAGAGAGCTCATTTGCAAAACTCATCAAAATCTTTAAATTGGTTAATTTGATTTGATTTAATTTTTTTAATATTTATTTATTTATTTTAGTTGTAGGTGAACACAGTATCTTTACTTCATTTTTATGTGGTGCTGAGGATCAAACCCAGGGCCTCAGGCAAGCACTCTACCACTGAGCCACAATCCCAGCTCTAAATTGGTTAATTTTAATGCAGGTAAATCATATCTCAATAAAGATGAATTTTCTAAGCTGGCTCACGGGCAAAAAGCAAAGCATTGAAAATTTTTATCAGAGTAGCTGCCCTGAGCCATCCTTGATTTTGTTTTATTGTACAGATTAAACAAGATCCTTGTGGAGTGCCATCCATCTTGTCCCCAGGAAGCTCTCTGCTGGTCAGACCCTGGCTACCTCTCCCACCTCTGGGCTTGGGACAGTAGTGCTACCACTTTGATTCCAGTAACTGAGCACCCCCCACCGGGTTCAGTGCCCTCCTCCCCACTGTGTCAGTGAGCCGGTCCTCCGCAGTTCCCTCTGCCTGCCCACGCCCATGGAGTGTGGCCATTCTTCAGCTGCTCAGTGAAGGTGGCACCGACCTGCCAGGACGCTCTGATCTCCTCTGGATGGGGTGGGCTTTGGGCTCTAATGGACCCTGATCATTCAGCGAGTTTTCTGACTACATAGCATTCACCCAGCATGACCACTTTTTTGAGCCTTTTATACCTTCTTCTACTCAGTGCCACAACAGTCCTGGCATTTCAACTTCACTTAATGTGGCCATGGCATTCTCTAAGCTTCCCAGAGCCATCCTACTAGGATGTTAACATCACCAAGAGGGCTGGGGATGTGGCTCAAGAGGTAGCGCGCTCGCCTGGCATGCGTGCGGCCCGGGTTCAATCCTCAGCACCACATACAAACAAAGATGTTGTGTCCGCCGAAAACTAAAAAATAAAT